GCATTCCGGTGTGCATCCGGGGGCTTGTGATCGTGTAAACATGTTTTTGAGAAGACAGTTTTAACAGGAGAAACATAACATTAAGCAAATGCAAAAACAAAAAATAATATGTTAACTTTGTATTCTAATTTTAAGTCAAAGATTCAGAAATACAAATTGCTACGTCAAATGTTAGTTTATGTTATTTGATAAAATGCAAACAATACACCCAGTCTTAGTTGTATAGAAACAAACGCTAAAAACATAGAGTATGTATAACTTTTAGAATTACCTGTAATGACATTTTGTCCTTGTGATAAAAACGATAGAAGATGGAATATCTGTGGCTATGTTTAAACCTTCATATAATGTCAGTTGTATTTAGCAAATAATTTCTTTGTTTGTTTCTTGTTAATCGAAATGCCACACACAGGACTATCTGTGCCTAGTTTACCGCAAGTATCGAAACCCAATTTTTAGCATTATAAGCTCCAGACTTACCGATGGGCTATTGGGGAGAGGGCTATATAATAATAAAAAGATTAGCGATTTCTGACTGAATTTTTTCTTCAGAGTAGCTTTGTGATGAATATCTATTTAAGTACGTGACTAACAGAAGCAAAATGTACAAAGATTGAAATTAAAAACTACAAAATACTTAAAGAAAACATTTAAAATATTATAAGATAAAATCAATGAAACTATATAAAATTAGAGCCAGGTCAGGTTGAAGAAGCTAAACTATTAAAATAATTTACAAAATTTTATTGGCGAATCAGTAAAATTCTTGTCCGATTTATTCATACCAAGAGGAAGTTGTGTTAAAAGCCTAGAATCACTTGACCAGGTGAGCAAGACGACCTTTTAACCTCTATAACAGAACATAGATAACCGCAACAACAACAAAAAAAAAAAACAAGAAATAGGATAAGATTAAATGCAAGCCCTAAATATAAATTTCAGTTTATTACTGGAAATTTCAAGCATAACCTCAAAGGCTTACCTCTAAATCCTGCTGCGCACGTACACGTATAATTGTCCAGTGATTTGAGAGTGCACGTGCCCCCATTCTGACACGGGTCACTGTCACAAATATTCGGAAGAGCAATCTCACAGAGTGAAGCTGTGTAACCAATCGGACAGGTGCACGTAAAAGTTGGACTAGTCCTGACACTCAGGTTTACGTTACAACTGCCACCGTTCTGGCATCTTGGTCCAGCACCAGTATGGCAGGGATTCAGGTACTGACAGTACTCTCCAACAAACATTGGCGGACATCTGGAAGGAAGAGAAATAGAATATGTTGAAATAATTACACTGTTATTACTTTTTTCGTAAACACAGCGACACAAGTCAGAAGATATCATAGTACAACCTCCTTTATAAATTCACCCCTCCCCCAGTTATTCAGCGGTAAACTCAAGGACTTATATCGCTAATGTTCTGATAATTCTGATATTCTGATAATTCTTTGCATCAACAAATCTTCTTCAAAAAAATTCAGATGAACGAATTGTCCCATAGTGGATCAACGGTAAGTTTACAGACTTACAACGCTACATTTCGGGGTTTGATTCCCCACAGTGGATAGCCCATTGTGCAGCTTTGTGATAAACACAACAATGACAATTATACTTTGTTTTTGAAACATAATATCTTATAATTTGGAATTCTTCTGTGTTGGTTATTTGCTGTTGTTTATTTGTTTGTTTTAGTGCAAAGTTACACAATGGATATTTGTCCCTATACACTACGTAGATCGAACATCGATTTTAAGCGTCACGAACCCTAAAGATTACCGCTTAGTTCACGTAGGCTCCCCGCTCTGTTAAGAAGTAGAAGATATAGTTCAGGAGTTGAGCTGTAAGCAGTTACAGGCTTGGCAGTTAAGTACTGAAATCTACACTCTTAATCTTAGAAGTATAAGGGTTATTATTTACTAGAATTACTCACCTCTAAGCTTAATATTTACTCAAACAGTCGCTGTTGGTTTCTCAGTGCAAAACTACACAGTGGGCCATCTTCACTCTACTTCACTATGAGGAATCATAACAATGAAATGTCTGCGAATTTATCGTGGGCCCACAGGAGAACTACTCAAACAGAATATTAATTATTGTTAGCTTGTGTTGATAAACTCCATTCTGTCAAAATTTTGTTTGTACAGTTTTTCAGTTGCCCGTAATGGAGGGAGAATGGTCAGCTGATTTCGATGTGTTGAATGACCTTCTATCACTTTTAGTTCCTATGTTTATTCAGTATATTTTGCCCATTTCTGTGGGTAGAATTTTCTATTCACGCTCCTATTCTTGGAAAGATCTGGATAAAATAGGTTTTTGCCATTCTGAATTCTCAAGATTAGTTATATGAACAAAAAAAAACATCAACAATAAACAAACAGAGAATCCTTAAGAAAAACTACAGCGCTTTTACCGCTGTTCTTTAACTGATGGTCTCATACTTTTTTTAAAATCTCAATTCCTATAAAACGGAAAATCACGGTTACAGTGACAGAAACCAATACATTGTACACATCTCTTTCTTGATGTTTTAAATTAGGGATTCTCAAGTTTTTTCGGTATGGGACCCCATTGTTTTTCTTTTAGGGTGAATATTCAAGAACCCTTTCCAATTAGTCAGGTAACTAAAATCAACGAAGGATAATTAGCGTTCTGCGAAAAACGCTAGCCAAGAAATGGCGGCGGTTGGTATTGATTAGTTTCACTACTTCTAACTAATCAATCAGTTCAAAATTAGAAATGGGTATGTACAGATATCCTTTCCTTAATTTTGCGTGAAAGTCAGGAACGAACTATATATATATATATAAGGAAATGCTTTTTCTGTAACACAAACAGACAGCGAAGAGGTTGGGAAGATGAGGCATATATCTTTAACTATTTAGTATTCGCGACCCCTTTAAGGCTTTCCACGATTCAGTTTCAGAGTATATACTCGCTGCATTTGTGTCATTTTGGTGGAGTGTAATCTTCATATTCTGAGCACGAAAATACTCACTACAACGTTGTCACTTAGGTGCAATGTAATTTGCATATTCTGAGCACGAAAATACTCACTACAAC